TATGTGTGTATCTATCCTGGGCAGAGGAATGGCCAAGATGACCCCTGGCTTAAGCAAGACTAGAAAGCCAAAACAGATGTCTGTGGCCATTTTTTTGGTTTTTTTTTTTTTTTTTTTTTTTCAGAACCAGGGATTGAACTCAGGCCCTTGTGCTTGCCAGGAAAGCACTTATTCTACTGAGCCATCTTCCCGGCCCCTCTGTGGCCATTTTTATTTCCACTCTCCTGCTTCCAGCTCTACTGCTCCACACACGCCTCCTTTGCTCCCACCAGACAACCTGTGGCTTTCCAGGTGGTGAGACCACGAGCTGTGGGACACAGCTTCATGGACACAGACAGTCTGGACCATAAGGAGCCCTTTTTAGTCCTCTTATAGATCCAGTAAGTTTGTATTTGCGATCTAACGGATAAGTTATTGGAATCCCATCAAGTTAATTCCATTCTACCACTTCCAGTGCAGCCCATGGCAAGAATAAAGACACTAAGGTGTATTTATAATTGTGGGGAGCCAAAGGGTCCTAAGTCCAACCATGGTGATATCTTTCCAGAACAAAGGCCTCAACCCAAGCCCCAATCTGGGTTTTATTCAGTCATGAAGGAGGAGTGGCTTGAGGATGAATGACCGAGAATGGCAGGAAGTAGGTGAGTATTGTGAGCTGGGCTGGTAGGAGGCCTGCATTTACCTCTACAATATGCAGAATAGGTAATTTGCATTATACTACTGAGATAGTAGCTGATGTTTTTGGGGTCAGGTGCTTTAGCTCTGCTGTGTAATCTTTCAAGTTCCAGGAAGTCATAGCCTCTATCTCAAGACTTGATTCCAGCCAACCCAGCTCATATTAAAGAGCAGAAGGTGTGGGTTATCAGGGAAACAAGTGTGCCATCTTCAAAGAGTACCACCAGCACCTCGGCCAGATCAATATGCATTGCTTAAAGCCAATTGAAGGGACAAAGAAAAATCCTAGCCAGCCTATACCTATCAATATATGGAAATAGAGTCAGGCACGGCCAAAATGGAGACAACTGCTCTTCTTTCAAGGAGAGCCGCCCAGGTGGTCCTTCACACTTGACAAGGAAGCGATCCGCTCCATCAGAACAGTAGCTGGAGGTGCAGGCTGCTTTGGCACTTTCTTCAGTTGCACCCTGTACAAGTAGAGATGGCACCTCTACCATCCATACCTCTGTTTTCTTCCTCTGGGATGAGGATGCTGGGCTCAGGGACCTCTTATTGCACTGATCCCGGGGCTCACCCTGCGTCTGTGGGGTATGGGCTTTGGAGGTCCTACTCATATGGTTCTGTGCATCTGAGCAGGAGGAACCATGGGTTTCTTTTAACTTGAAGCCCTGGATTATAATGGAATTGGCCATTGTGGAAAATTCTCACCAGCTGCCAGGCTGGGCAAACCCTGCTCCCTTAACCCTGGGTGCAGGGCTTCCAAGAGGGACATGAAAACACTGAGAGTAACAGGTATCAAAGTAGACATTCTGTGGACACAAGAACACCATCATGTACATAAGAATGAACACCAAGGGTTCAAGAATGAACACTTGAACACCAAGGGGTGCACCCTCCAATTCTTACGTGGGTCCTGCAATGGTAATTCTGGTATTTACTTTATAGGAGGAGAATGTGGCTCACAGAGGCCCCATGGAAGACCAAGTCACATGGCTATTACACCACACAGCAGAATTAACTTCTAGCCTGACTCCCTCCAAGGCCACCCCCCACCTGCCTCAACAGACACCTTCAGCTGTAAAATTCCTGTGGCCTGGGATTAGTCCCTCTGTCCCATTTTGGCTCTCATAACTTGTCTCCTTCAGCTGGCTTCTTTCTCCAGGCCTATAGTCATGCATCCTCTTCCAATCTTAAAGCAATGTGCCAGATGGGACGATGCATATCTATGAGCTCAGCTACTTGCAGCTAGAAAGACCTTCTGCATGTGGAAGGCTAGACTTGTTCCTCTGGCTTACAGCCCTCCAAGGACCCTCCATCATCAGAGAGAACTTGCTTCTATGTTCCTCTCCAGTCTCATCTCCCACCAGCTCACAAACCCTGCACTCTGCTTAAAGCAAAATACCCATGGATCTGAGCTCTCCTCTTCACTGTCAGCTGTTGCTACATCTGCCTGCACTGCCTTCCCTCGAGCTCTTCCCCAGCTGAGGTCCTGTGACTCTTTCAAAGACCCATGTCTCCCTCTAGGAGCCTTCTCTACCTCCACAGCCAAGCTGATCTGTTCTGCTCTCTATTACCTACACATCTGTATCACATCTGTCACAGCCCCTGAGGGCTATGTAGAGGCTATGCCATATTTGCATAGAAAGGACATGACTTTGGGGCAAGGTACCCCAGGTAAACCCGACTGATATGTGTAGAATCACTCAACACAAGTCAGAGACAAAGCCCAATTTTGCTGATAAAAACCCAACCACCTCTTCATCTGTTTAGCCTTTGTGTATTGAGTATCTTCTCAGGGTCTGGTGCTCCTGGGCACTGGATTCCAGGAGGAGTAGCAGAATGCTCTGGTTCTCCAGGAACTCAGAGGTCAGTGGTCAAGAAACCCTGGTAAGAGCATCCTGGCCCCTTCTGAGCAGAAAAAGTGGCCCCATAGTGGATAAATATGTGTCTAAAGTTTTGCTCCATCTCTACGAGCTGCTGTGAATGAGGATCGAGAGGACTTTCTAGGTCTGTATGTAGGAACGTGGTAAGCAACCTCTCCAAATTAAACTTGCAGCTGAGACTCATGAATCTAATACTGAATGCCAGAGACCATTGAAAAGCACCACCAAACCTTGTCCCAGATTCCTGTATGGCATCTCGCAGCTGGTACTCGTGTTTACATATGCATCTGGAGATCTGTATCCTTATCAGTAAACATTCAAACACATGTATAAAAATAACTGAAATGAAATAAATCCATAAGAGCTTTGCATCTCAACTACAATCTTGTGTCCTCAACCATCCAGCTCCCTAATTGGAACACAATTCTGACTTTGCTATTTTCAGATACAAAGAAGAGTGCAGATATCGGCTCTCATTTTATTTTATTTTATTTTATTTTATTTTATTTTATTTTATTTATTTTGGTGGAACTCGGGATTGAACTCAGACCCTTGCCCCTCGGCTCTCATTTTAATTCATGATTTGGTAATAGGACTGACCTTAAGTGGCATGAATTAAAATGCTCCAAGTTTTACAATGTTAATACAGTAACACTGTGTGGGTTTTCAGAGGAGTTATTTATTGAACACAAAATGTTTAAATCGGCATACAAAACAAAATTTTAAAGTTCCAGTTTCAAAAAGTATTGCTCTGCGTCAGAAGAGAAGGATGCCTTTTGTTGGCACAATATCAAGAGAACAGCACTTAAAAAAAAGTCAAAGATAGTCACGCAAACACGTACACGCACAGCCCAGAGCACTCTGATGGGACACTATCTTTCCTTTATGTGTCGTGGAAAACCGGGCCAGAACGACCCTGCAGAAACTTCCTGATGAAAACAGCTAGTCTACCCTTCCTAAGCAGGAGGCTGGCTGTCGGAGAACCCCAGCCCGGGCTGCAGCGCTTCTTCTGCCGCTCCACCGACGGACGGTGGGCCCTGGAGGCAGCGCCGGCTTACAGCTGATTTGAGCGGCGCACTGCGTCCACCATCCTTGGCAAGTGGGGTGGGCGGGGGTGGGGGTGGGAGGTGGGGGGAGAATCCCTCCACTCAGACCCATCTGGCAGAAAAGACTCCAGATTAGCAATCCAGGAGTCACGTGAGACAATTTACACCTTCCCTCTCCTGGTGTTGAGCTCCCCTCCCCCTCAAACCTGCGTCCGGGCGGTGGAGCTGCAGCGTCTCCTCTGCAAGGTGGGCAGTCCCCAAAGCAGCTTAAAGGGGAAAGGAAAAAAAAAGAGTGGCTTCTTTGTTCCTTCACCTGGTAAACTCAGCTTTAGACAATTCTCCACCTCCCACCGACACTCCAAGTCTGCACATTTCTCTCTTCCTCAAAATGAGGGCGGGCAGTCTCTTTGGTTAAGACTTGTTCCTGACCCTAGGCTAAGTGTCTTTACTGTATTATTTAAGTCTCCCAGCAACTCTTGAAAGTAGGTGTTATTAATCCTATTTTTCGTATTGAAAAGAACCGAGGGCAGAGACTAATTTGGTACGGTAAATTGTGAGCCCAAGGTGGGTCTGACGCCAAAACCCTAATCCTCTATCACTTTTCATGCTGAAAAAAACAAAAACCAAAAAACATTAATTCTAATTGAGCAATTACTATATGTCAGGTACTGAGTGAATATTTTTCCAAAATACGCTCAGACAAGTGTGCCACTTACTAGATCCGTCATCTTGAACAACTTCCATATGCTCTTTGACTCAGTTTCCCTGTCTGCAAAGTGAGGTTAAATGTGAAAAGCGAATTAATGCATGTCAAGCCCTTAGAACAAACAAGTATTAATAACCCCCGACATTGTTGTCTTTTGAAGAACCATTCTTCCTAGTCACAGGGGAGGAACTTAGGCTGGTGAGGTTACGGAACAAATTGGTCCAGGTTGTCCCCCGGCACACCTTCTGCAGCACCGGCTCGCTGCGGACTCGGGGCTCGCTGCAGGCGAATTGCACCTGCCAGGTGGGAGAAGTGTTGGGGCGCTGCGACAGAATGCGCCGCAGCTAGGGAAGCCTGGGGGTCGGGGATTAATGAACCTGCAAGGACTCGGGATTTTACACGCAAAGTGCCCAGAGTCGGGGATGCCACCCAACCCTACAAAACGCTCTGCGCGAGACACTAGCACGCAGGGTCCGCGGTGCGTCTGGAGCCCCCAGGCCGCGCGCACAGACGCGCGCGCCCGCACCCACTGGCACCGAGCCAGCCGCCCGCATTCCCCCCGCCCGCTGCGCTCCAGGGCGGAGTTTCCTCCTCTGCTCATTGTTCGCGGCCCAGCGCCCGCCCAGCCGCTGCCCCGCCCGGCCGGGCCTCTGCTGCGGCGGGCGAGCTCCTGAGGAGGGGGCGGGGGCTGGCGCGGACGGGACGGGGCGGGAGGCGCCGCAGCTCCCGCCGGGCAGTAGTCGCGCAGATACCGCCCAGGACGCGGACGTAGTCGCTGCCGCTGCTCTGCCGCTGGCTGCGCTCCCAAGCTCGGCTCTGCGGCGCGGAGGGGCCACTGGAGCGCATTCCGGAGCCTCGGGCCACCGCCAGGCAGCGGGAGCTACAGCCAGGCCTACCCGAACGGCGCCCACGCTCCTGCTGCCCAGAGGCGCGGACCCCGCGCCGCCCCCAGCCACCTGCTCAGGCCCGCAGGCGAGGACACCATGCGCGCTGCGCTGGCGCTCTCGGTGCTGCTGCTGGTGCTGCGATCGCCACTGCCTTCGCTCTCCGAAAATAATAGTGAGTGGCTAACCCGAGTTCCGCTGGGACCCCCACCACGCTGCCCCTACACCCACGGCCGGGCGGCGCAGCTAGAAAGCTCGTTGCGCCGCGTGGTCCGGTCCGGAGAGCATCTGTGCCCGCGGAGTCGTGTGCGGAGCCCTGATCTTGCACCACTCTCGCCTCCGCACTCGGACCGCCGTGGGTGCTGGCCCCGCGCGTGGATTCGCCCCCAGACTTACTGTTTGGGGCAGAGGAGCATACCCAGGCTAAGGGCGCGCGGGCAAAAGGAGCGCGCCGGTTTGAGGGGTTTGCGGGCAAAGGAGGGGATACTTAGGATAAGGGTAAGGCAAGGAGGCTCCGTGGTCCCTCGGCGCCCCGGGAGTAGGTTTAGCCCTCTTCTTCGCGTTGGGAATGAGGCACGGTATTGTGGCGTTGTTGGCTGATTCCAGGCAGAGCGGTAGGCTGGGAGCTTACGAGGAAGTCCCCGAGACAGGTGACAGGCTTCCAGCAAGGGCCCATGCGGGCGCAGTGCTTACTGGTTCCAAGAGCTTTTCCCACGTGTGTAGGCTCAGCCCTCCTGAGCTCGTGCAAGGGCAGGTGGAGGGGAGCCAGTGGACCTTTCACAGTCCCAGGCACCTGGCAGATGGGGACTCTGCTTCCGTGTCGCCCAAGGAACAGATCGCTTCTCTGGGATTAGCCAGGGAGTCGGGACCCTCTTCATCCCCTTTGTGCAAATAAGTTCTCTCCTGAAAGAGGATTGGACTGCATTCATGAACATCTTAAAAAGGTCCCCTGTCGCTCTGTTTTCCTTCTTTTTTTTTTTTTTTTTTTTTTTTTTCCGATTAGAACATGTTGGCGATACAGGATGAGTACTGGTATACATAATTTATCTTAATGCTTTTTACTTCTCCCTCCCTTCCCTTCTTCCTCTATCCTGCTCATGAGAGAGAGAGAAACGCACCTTAGAGAAACCCACGGTGTGTGTCTTCTAAAGTGAAAGGTTATTTTCTCTTTGGAGGGAGACAGGCAGTGGCTACAAACAGCCCAAGCTGGGATCCCAGAGCCTCTGGGGACAGCTGGCCCAGGAGAAGCATTCTGCTTATTCTCCTTTGCCCACCTGAGCTCTCATCTGCGGGGAGAAGGGATGGGGGTGCTCTATGTTGCCAGGAGGCCTTCGGTGACAGCCCCAACTGGGAGGGGACTGTGCTTCTGCGGGTGCTCCTGGTTTGGAACTTGCTTCTGTGGGGAGGGGACGATGAGATAGATGGCAGTCCACTATCTCCTGGCACCACAGCGAGTGAACCTTGGCGGTAAGGAGGGCCTGCGCTCAGAGCAAGCAGGCCTGCGCTTCAGGTAGGCTGGTGGGTGGGCCCTGACTCTGTGAGCCTGGCCTCAAAAGGAAAAGGCCGCCTAGTGGGGGAAGGGTGTGTGTGTGGGGGAGGTGCAGTGGGAGGGGGGACGTGCAGTGTGAGGAGCAGTGGGAAGAGCCTCAGGATGGTGGTCCTGCCTGTTTGCTCAGTTCTCCAGGCAGGGAAGTTGCTAGAACACGGTGGCGGCGCTGCTCAATCCTGCTTTTGGGACAGCCAGGGCGGGCCATAGTGCTGCTGAGCCAGAAGGGGCCGAGCCACCGTATCTTGGAGGTGAATGATCCCGCTGTTGAGGGATGCGTGCTTCTGAGCCAACCAGTGGGGAGATCTGCAAGCCCTGCTCATTGCTGGCCTCAAGACTGGGGCTTTTTCCAGGTCTCTGAATACTGTCTCTAAATCTTGTACCTGCCATGAAGCCCTTCCCGGGGCCCAGCCTAGGGAGAGCCCTTGGTAGGAGCTGGATTTGTGCAAAATCTGTCCACCTCCCAGTCTCTGCCCTCCAGTGAGCAGATCTCACTCATCCTTTAGGAGCCTTGGCCACCCAATCCCCAAAATGCCTTTATTAGAACCCACAGTACTACAGCAACATGCCTTGAGAAGGGCACAGAGGTAAGGGGGAAGTCAGAGGAGGAAGAGGAAGGTTTGCATGCACTGAGACCCCATGGCTGAAGAGTGCGAGCCTCCAGGAGTGTGCAGCTGGCTCCATGAGGCTGCTGGCATCAGGAATGCAGAGACCACTCAACTGCTGGACTCTGTAGTGTGAAGGAAGACAACGTAGAGTTGCAGTGTAAGTCGCAAGGAATTATCCCCACACAGGTCCCCTGGAGCTTACCTCCTAACGCTGGTAGATCCACTGGTAGATCCAGCAGCCCTGGTAAACAGCATTAAAGCCAGGGCCTTTGCATTGCTTTTCATTTTGCTATCCATTTGTCTGAAGCACATGGCAAGTCCTACCTCAGAACCTCAGGTTTGTTTGTTTGTTTTTAATCTGTGAGATAGGATGAAAGAGCAGGAGGGACTTCCAGTTCCACCGTTATAAGATTTCTGGGCTCCTGTGTTCTCTCAGCTGCGGAAGGAACATGCTGATTTAGTACTACCAATCTGATAGTCATTTGATGGATAAATTCTGGGAACAAGAAAGGCAGCTTGGTGCGGTGGAAACACTCAGACCAGGTAAGACACACCAGTGTAGCCTCGGAGAAGGCAGTGAAACTCCCCAAGCCTCAGTTTCCTCCTCCATAGAGTGATTACAAACCTGCTTTATGGCCTGCGCTGAAGGCCAGCGGGAAGTGTAATGGGCTTGGCGTTGTGCCAACTCCTAGGCAGCAGGAACAGCTCTGATGATTAATGCAGCACAGGCACGGAGCCCCTGGTGGGCCTGGGCCCCCCCCCCCCCAAGCATCAGAAGTCTGATGATTCTGGGTGTCAGCTGATTATATAGCAGTAGAAATAGCCTGGTTAGGGAAAGGGAGGAATACCTGAGAGCCAAGAGATTTTGGGGGGCAGGTGGTGTGGGGGGTCTGGGGAAAACTTCCTGAAGGAGGCAAGTTTTTAATAAAGAGATTTTTCTTTCTTTCTTTCGTTCTTTTTTTTGCGGAACCGGGGATTGAACTCAGGCCCTTGCTCTTGCCAGGCAAGCGCTTATTCTACTGAGCCATCTCCCCGGCCCCAAGAGATTTTAAAATATGGGTCTAATGAGGTTGGGAGACCACTTCTGCTGGTGGCTAAGAGGAAATCCTTGTGCAGGTGGGAGACATGCTGGTTAGGGACCAGAGCCTATGCTGGGAGTCTCGGGGTGGGGTCTGTGCAGAGCTGGAAGGCACTGGGAGATCTGGGCTCTCCAAGCTGAGAGAATGTTCCTGGGGTGGGCGGGCACACACAGGTGAGACTGGACGCAATTTGAGGCAGGAGCAGGCTTGAGGCAGGTCTCTGATGCAGCACCAGGTGGCGGTGTGGTCAACCTGTGGGGCATGGCCACCCAGGGAGGGGCAGAGGTCAGCAGCCTCAGGGTCCTGGCAGTCACCCTGGGCCTGGAAAGGCAGATTGCTAGCAGTGAAGGTGCCCTCCTGCCTTTTCCTCAAGAATTTGAAGAGAGGAAGGGGCTCCTGCTGGCCTAGAGGGGGAGGGAGTGGGCCCTGCGGGATTAGAATGGGAGGGGCGTCCTAATGGAACTACATTGTATTCCACAGTCCTCCGCAGTCCTGCAGGTAGGGAAGGGCAGACCTGCCTCTGCCTCTTCCCAAGTGCAGCAGCGGGTGCCATCCTGTGTTCCCAGCCGAGTGTCAGACTGCTGATTTGGAGAAGTTGGCCTTGGCCCCTGGCTTAAGCCCTCAGGAACACAGGTGTGGGACCAGCTTATGTCCTGGGCTGCTGTGTCTGGCCAGTGAGCACTTGACCCAGAGCTGTCAGAAGCAGATGCTGAGAACGTGGGCTTTGGGCTTGGAATCCAGAGCTGCGTGACATAGGTAGCTGCTAGGACAACAGCTCAGTGCTCAAGGGCTCAAGGATGGATCTCTTTTCTCAGCTCTGACTGGCTTCCTATTTGTTCCCCTAGGTATGAGACAGGGCACCATGAGTAAGGTCCCCTGTCATATCCCATTCCCAGGAACACCAAGAAGTTGGCAGTCTCCCTATCACGTGTCCCATCCACACATGATAGGGGCTGTTGGAAAGTCAAAGGAAGCAGTGACTGTAGGGGCCACAGATGCCAAAGGACCAGAGGCATTCTACTAAAGACAAGTCTTCCAAAAGATGTGCAGGAAAGATCCAGTACCAGCAGCCTTTGTGTATTTGCAGTGTTGCTTGGAAGGTTACTCTGCGAGTAGCCTGCTGATTGTCCAAAGTGGAATACAGTAGGCAAAGGGTAATTTCCACAGCATCTCTAGATAACTTGGGAAGTCATAGGGCACAGAATTCTGGAGAGCCTTCTGGAAATCACATGCTATCACACACTCATTTTCCAGCTGAAGAGTAGAGACCAGGGAGGAGGGCCCCTTGCCCAAATGCCTTGCGGCTCCCATGGGCTTGCTAGGTTGCTAGGTGTGTACAGGTGTGACCGAGGGTCACTAGTAACAAATCTCAGCCTTTCCTGAGACTGTAAGTCATGAAACTGGTGAAAGAGTGAGGGATTGCTGAGGCATAAGGACTGCATGTTTAAAGCCAGTTCAGGGGGCTGGTGAGATGGCTCAGTGGTCTAAAGCGCCTACTTAGAACAAGCTTAGCAAAGCACAGGGACCACGGTTCAATCCCCCAGCACCACATACCAGCCAGCCCCGCCCCCTGGAGGGCTGAGCTGGCCACACACACACAATAAATAAAAATTAAAAAAAAAAAAAAAGCCAGTTCAGGAAATCTCACCCTGTCTTAAAATAAAAAGTGGGAAAAAAATAAATAAAAATTGGGGAACAGGGGATGTGTATCCCTGGGTTCAGTCTCAAGTATCATAAAAATGAAAAAGAGAGAGTTCTTGGAGGCTTCCATGTATGAAATTTCTCTCTATTCCCAGAAGGAAGGAAACAAAAAAGGGAGGGAGGGAGACAGTCAAGTTTTGTGGGATGAGGACCGGCTGCACAAATGCAGAGCCCCAGTCAACTGAGTAGCCCGCCCCTCAACTCTTGCATGCTGCATGCTTTTCTTGTCTTTGAGTCTTGG